TTCCATTTTTTTCTGAGGTGACAGCTTTACTTTGCAGTAAAGAAAGTAGAAGAGGCCCAATGCTTAATCCCCTTAATACCTGTTACTCTGCTATGACAGATATCAGCAAAAAGAATACCATTAACAAAGCACCCACCTTAGAGACTGAGAAATCTGATCAAGCAAAAACTCCAGAATCGTGACAGCCAGTGGTCTACCTATTACAAGAAAACACGCCAACACAAGAACAATATTGGAAGTTACATGAAAAATCTCCAAGTCAGGACTGGAGCCAAAAGGGAGGACAACAAAGAGAGAATAGGCAGACCCATGTTACCGTACACAACCAGAGGACATAAAACTACAGGTAACAGGAGGATTGAATAATGAAGAAATTGTGAGGGTGAGATCCCTTATCAGCAGTCTAAACAAGTCTTCAGCTACATAGTTTTATTTTGATTCCGGCAATAAAGACGGGTATAGGTTCAGCACAGAAAAGCTAGGATTTTTGTTAAAATTCGGATACCATATTGAGAAATTTATATTTCTTATTTGAACATTACAATCACTCATTTATAGAATTGTCATAACTACATAAAAAGGAACCTAATTATTTTGGGATCCCATGATTTATGGGATATTCCACCATAATAAGGTCCTACTTAAATAGGCCTAATTCTGTATATCACTTTTCTTTACCAACAGCATCTCTTATAAACTTGGTTTACTGGTAACCCAATTTGCCTTCAAGAGGTCTCATGACATAGGCTTATATGTGTCTACTGGATGAACTTACAAAATTATCATTAAGGTGCTTCGTGGGAGACTCTGCGGAGACCTTGATGATAGTATCCTCAATACTTTAGCAAGAAGGCAAATCTTTGACACAACTCTTGTGGCTAATGAGCTGTGGAGGACTTCAAGAAATATAATCAGAAATAAATCTGACTACCCTCAAGAAACGATAGTTGGACAATCTCTATGTAACCTAGATAGAGAAAAATCTTTAAAGTACTCATGTGTCTCAAGTTAAAACAATGCCAAGAAAAACAACTTATCTCAAAGAAGCCTTTAAAAAAAAAAATGACGCCAAACAAGAAAACTTGATCCTCGAAGAATGAAGATCTCCGTACTTATCTCCAGCCAAATCACCCACAACCTAACAAAGAAACCCTATACCAAAGAGCCTCTACTTGGACCTGCCTCCATTTTTTCTACTCGCTGCCCCCTACTTGGACCTGCCTCTAAGGATTGTTGCGTAACAAGCACATAAAGTCTACTGGAATGTCCATCTCAACTTGATAAATTAACTTCAAGCCAAACTACTATGCGAAAAGAGATAGTGACGAGTCTTAATAGCTTATAGTGTATCAGTCATCACACCATGGATAAAGCACAATTTGAGTTGTGATCTTGAAGCAAATCATCAATATTAGACCCATCCAAAACAACAGTTTAAACCATGCCACTTTAAGGCGTCACATCCAACCGAATTAGCCAAACTAACTTTCTGCTCATCAACATTAAGGCTCATAGGTAACTGTCCCAAGGTTAATTTGCAGGCTCTGGGCATGGAAGGTTATAGGTTGAAGGAGAAAATGAGAAGAGCTAATACTACTTACCATCTTTTGGATTGTATAGAAGGAGATGAACAAAGGTTTCTGATGGTTTGATTTACCCAAGAATAAATGGTTACAGACCTTTTGTTTTTTGTTATTGGTCATCCATCCTCTTCATTTAATGGAAGATTTAAGAAACATTACTGACACTTCAATTGATTTTTAAATTTTTTATACATGGGTGAGTACCTCCTTGGTGCCAATATCAATACCTTACACTTTTTATTTCAAAAAAAAAATTCGCAGGCTCAAAGCACATTAAAACATGGGAAACAGTCTTTATGGGATTGTTGTTTCATCTTTCACCTAATTCTAGTAAAGAACTTGTTCTTTAGATTCTTCAGTTATTACTCTTCTAAATCACTTTTCACCTTCTTCCCTTTTAACCCCAATGCTTCTAATTTTGTTACACTGCTTTTCTGGAAGGTGAAAATTCCCCAAGGTTAAGGCCTTTATGTGGACCTTGATGCTTAAGAGGATCAATATTAATTTCTCTCAAAAAAAAAAGAGAGGATCAGTATTAACAACCTGATTCAAAGTGATCTTCGAATAAAGTATTAGGAATAGAAGTAGAAAAATAACACCTTTTTATAAGGTACATTGAAGAAGGAAGAAGAAATTATGTAATTAGTAGATAGTTGCATGTGTGATATTATGTGTGTTGTTTATGAGCCTTATTAGATAGGTGTATGTGCTACATAATGGTGCTATTTTGTAGGTTTATATGCTGTATTTTTATGAAGTATTGTGAGTGTTTGTATGAGAAATTTTTGGAGAAAAAGATCGATAGTTATGCTATCTGGAAAAGAACTTCCAAAAACTGTTTCTCTTCCAAAATCACATCCTTCTTTGGTGCCCTGTGGTTTTCAATATTTGGACCATGGTGTATAGTCTTTTGGGAATTAATTGGGTCATGTCGGGGTCGATTAGGGATGAGTTGTGTGCTTAGGCGGGCTTCTGTGAAAAGAAACGCTATTTACTAATGATTACTCTTTTATCTTTTGGGTTATGCGGAAGGAGAGAAATTTATAGCTTTTGAAGGTAGTGAGAGAGAGATGGGTAATATTAGAGATAGATGGATCCACTTTGCTTTTGGGTCATAACATTAATAAGATGGAAGATTTTGGGATTGTTATTGATCACCTTATTGACTTGTAAATAATTTGTATACAGGTGGTATCCCCTTGATACCATTGTGAATAATACTTTTCTACACTTTTATTTCAAAAAAAAAATGTCAATATGCTATATTAGTGAGCAGTAGGATGTGTAATAGAGGGAATAAAAGATAAGGCTAGGATAAGGAACGTGAGTACCCATGAGTAGTTATCAGAATTCTGGAAAATAACTTCCAGAACAACTGCCTCTCTTCATATTAAAAGACCAAGCTATCTTTGTTGACAAATTATGAAGAAATAATTAATTTACAAGTTTTGAGTACCTATCTTACTCAAGAAATCATTGGGTTTTCTCTTAACAAGCCAATAGTATTAACAGAATCCATAACAAGATCCTAAATAAGGACCGTAAGATAAAGCTACTTCTCCAAATACTTATGGATATTCTGTATGGTTTCAGAGACTATAAGCACCCATCCTTGCACTATGAGGTGGTTTCCATTCTTTTGGAATAAATCGTTTGCACCCTTTGGGGAGTGCTGTGTGTACCCACCAAATCGTGAGATCTTTTTACTGCCAATTTGCGGGTTGTGTGAAGAATAAAAAGCACAGAATTCACGCAAATTAAGTAGGCATCTATCTGAATTAGCATAAAAAGGTCCAAAACATTCTAGAAGCAGGCCTTGAAAATGGATACAACATAATGAACTAAAAATAAAATTCTGAATTGACTCAGTATCATGTGAATATGGGTATTGTAATACTAAATTACCTTCTCATAAAAACCTCGAAATGTCCACGAAACAGTAGTACATGTCCTACATAAAGACAGAACAGCAATGGAAAATGAAAACTGAAAAATATTTTTTTAATAAAAACAAGAGACAAGTCCAAAGACTGAAAGAAATAAATGGAAGGAATAAAGTCAACATGTAGATTTAATATATCATTCTATTTTCAGCATATTGTAGCTACGACCAACAGCATGCACTGTCTCTTACTTTGGCGGTTTAAAAGATTCCCCCACCTGCCTCCACAGCTTGCAGGAAGTAACCTACAATAATCAAAAGCCAGTGTAATATCTGTATTAGCAAAACCAATAAAATTTTTTTTAGCAAATTCATTCACAAAATATGCTGCAGCAATCTCATGTTAGATCATATTGTAAACAATCACAACAATATATCATAGTTATGATCCCACATGATATGCTCATTTTGCTGGTTTGTGGCTAGTTGGAACATGTGCTAGAATTTTCAAGCATCATTGTCAACAGCATGTTAAGAACGGTGCATACACCCAAAATTGAGCAAGGAAGCACGAGAAATGAGCAAAGGAGAAGAAAGAGGAACTGGCTGCAGGAAATCAGAAAACTGGAAGCAAGGAGAGAAAAATGGAGCTGACCGCTCTGGATCACGACCCATAAGGGTCTACATGCATCGTCCACATGTCATTATGCCCAAAATTAATCCGCGCTATGTGGCAAAATTAGAGAAAAAAGAAGCAACACATGTCAAAATAACCGGTGAACCATTTCTTTTCTACACAGTGAACCAGTCCAAGTGTTTCAGATTTTTTCTCTCCAGCCGACGTGCCCTCGCCTGAATAGGCAGCTTTTCTTCATCATTTGCTGGCATTTGACAATGCAAATGAAGATATTCACACCAATTCATGTATATAAATAATGGATTGTATCAAAAACTCAGAGATGTAATCTTCGAAAATAAAATCTCAATTTATTAACTCTCTCTAAACTCTGTCTCACTCTCTCTCCTCTCTCAGGCGTTCTCTCTTTCTATCTGTAGTTCTCTTTCTCTTTCTCTCTCTCATTGGCTAAGCTCTCTCTCTCGGCCACATCTCTTTCTCTCTCTAACCATCCCCCTGTCTCTCGCGAACTCTTTCCCCCAACTCCCTCTTTTCTCTCTCTTTCAGAGTCTTCTCTTCTCTCTCTAAATTTCTTTTCTTTCCCTTTTGTTTCTTTACTTCCAAAATCTTTTCCAATCATTGTAGTTTTCTCAAACTTACCCATATTTCTCAATTTTTACCATACCACAAATTAATTTCTTTTGCCAAAATTAAGGTTTCGATGAATTACATGTCAAAACCGGATCCTGACCCAGCATCACATGGTTTTGCACATGATTATTTTCATCAATTTGCTTTAGGCTTTATCTATTTGCATAGGAATTGGATCTCTATTTTGGCTTATGGTCTTTTACTTTATTTATTTGTATGCCTTGTCTCTTTGTTTTTGGTTGAAGGATGCTTTATAATCTCCTCTTTCGTATATTCTCTTTCCCTTTAATAAAGTCTCTTCTTTTCGTTTGAAAACAAATGGACCCACATGATTGTGGAAGAAAAACAAGCAGACAAAAAACAAAGAACAAAAAAAGGTCAGTAAATGTTTCTAACTAGTAAACTCCTCCTGATTTTAAGTATTAACCATCTATCAACCATGGAAAAAAAGAAAACAGTAGAAGCTCAGCTCAGTTAATCAATGAAGACAAAATGCATACCTTGTCATAGCCACCCAATCTAGTTACAGCTCTCCACAACCTTATAACATATAAAGTGGTATAAATTAGTTCTTTTTTAATAGAAAAATAAACGGGTATAAATAAGTAATAAACAAATTTTCAAAGCATTTTCTGTAAAAGATCACAATTTCATATGTACTTGCAAACTTACTTAAGGCAGTTCAAACCCTCTCCATAGAACTTGGGAGGTTTAAATTCCATGCTCCTCTCTCTAAAGAAATTTTCCAACTCCTTCATGAAAGCTGACTGCTCCTCTTCAGTTCCTGATTCACCACCCTCGGAGAAATGATTCTCATCCAACAGAAATGATTGCTTCGAATTCAGATTTCCGATAATGGGCATAGCCAAGTCTATTTTATCCTCCCCGTTCTTCATATCTGCTCCTTTCTCCTGGTCAAATGGTAAATCTGAACATGCAGAACTGTAGCTGACATGTGCAGGACAATTACTCTTTTTAAGTTCACTGTCAGCAGAACCTGCAGTTTTACTTTGAAGCAGTTCAGAATAGCCCTCAAGTTTGATCTCTGTAGCAGGTTCAGCAGCTTCAGGGAGTTCTGTAGATATGTTAGGCCCCTCCTCATAATCATTATCTTTTTTAGAACCAAGAACTTCATTGGCTTCAACATTTATATTTGTTAAGGCTTCAATAGGTGCATCAACTGACCCCGCTTTTAGAGATGTTGATATTTCAGTATCACGTTCAACTGATGCATTGTTTTCCTCTCTTGTAGTTTCAGTATTGGATTTAACTGACCCTTTCTGGTGATCCAGGGCCATTTCAGTATTAGATTTCAAAGACTCTTTCAAATGATCTGAAGAAATCCCAGAAGGAGGATCCTGGTCAGGGATGGATGCCAATTCTATATTCTTCTCATTAGTAGTTATCTTAATGGCAGGTTCAACAGGAAGACTGTTAGGGTATGGGGGAGCTGGATTGGCATCTTGAACAATTATGGGTGGAGGAGAATCATGATCTTCCTTAACTTGTTCAACTTCTCCTTCCATACCACCCAGCGTGCTTTGTCCTGGTTGTTCATTATCATTTTCCTTTGAGTTACTCATCTCTGATGCCAGAAGAGGAAGACCTAAAAATGAATTCTGATATTAACACAAACATGTATGCTTAGTTTGAAATTTGTAGGACAAGCAAAATGAAGAAGAAGGCTAGCATGCATGCTCAAATAAAGGAGGAGAGAGTATCAGAAATGTGGATAAAGCTATTGTTTCACCCACTGAAAAATGAAACGCAATTACTTACAAATTCTCCTAAGTTTAGCACCAAAGTTAATTTCTCCTGTTTTTGAAACTGTTATTATTTCAGTTGAACTGAAGAAAGAAGCAGCATTTGCTATTCGTTGTTTCCTGCAACATACAACTCCTTGAGAAAAACCCTTTGGGCACCATTTCTTTTGGCCTGCTGCTACTTGAGTGTGTCATTTTGGCAATACCAAGTCCAGATATTCCACTTTAAGTCCGCTAAATTTAAAACCCATATAACCATAAAAATTCCTTTTCACACCTTGGGAATTCTTGTTGGCCACACATGCAAGCACAAAATATGTTGATTGAGGTGCAGCATGAGTTGATAACAAAATTTTTTCCATGTCTGCCATTTCTAATTCATTTTATTCTCCAATATTCTTATGTTAACCAAAATGTTATATCCAATTTTCCATATAAAATTAACAAGCAAAGCCACCTGAGCACAAAACAACAACTAAGATCTTTACTACACTTACTGATCACAAAGGAAAAAACTCTAAAAAAAATTAATAAAACGAAAGTAAAGGAGGGTCTGAAAACATCTGCAGATTTGCATCAGTTAGCGGGTTGGTGAGAGAGATAGAATTAGATTTTGGCAAGATCCATGGCTAAAAGGAGGAATACTTAGAGATCAGTTTTTTCAGATTGTTGCTATCACGCAGCACAAGAATACAATGATCAGTAATCATTCAGAGATAAAAGGGGAGAAAGCGAGTGGCGGGTAAATGTGCTGAGAAATCTCAATGATTACGAGATTAATGAATATGAGACTCTTCTAAACACTCTATCTTTCATGTCAATGGACGGTAACAATGACCAACTAGTATCGACTCTCAAGGCCACATGGTCTTTTTCGGTCACATCTTTCTATAATCACCTGGCTAAGCATGGTGACACAGAAACCAGATCTTCTTTCTGACAAATTTGGAAGATTAAAGCCCCTCCGGAAGTTGTTTTCTTCGTGTGGGAGGCCGGAAGGGGATATATGTTGACAATAAACAAACTGATGAGAAGGGGAAAAGTTATGGTGAATGGATATTTTTTTATGTAAAAGAGATACAGAGACTTGTACTCATGTCCTACTTTGGTGTTTGTCCGTGCACAAGTTATGGACTATGGCTTATGGGTTGCTAGGAATCAGTTGGGTGGTGGCTAGATTGGTAAGAAATGAAATTTGAGCTTGGAAGAGTATCAATGGTGGCAGAAACATGCAGATCTCTTCCCCCTTGCTACATTTGGGTTGTGCCGAAAGAGAGAAATACAAAAAACTTGAGGGGATAGATAAAGATTTGATTGAATTAAAAATAGATAGTTCCAAATTCTAGGTTTTGGATCATCCTCTTTATTCAATTGAGGATTTTCGGGATCCTATTGATATTAGTGATATGTAAATACTTTGTATGGTGCTTGTGAATTAATGATAAATAGCATACTTTTTATTTTTTAAAAAAAAAACCATTATCTTGTTTGTTTCATTATAGAAAATAAGGTAAGGTAAAAGATATTTTAAATAAAGAATTTTATTCATTTTGATGGCTTAACACTCTGAAATTGAGGCCTACAACATTTTGGTTTTGAGTAACTTTTGGTAGGTTTTCAAGAAACCTTTAAAGTATCTAATTAAAATCAGCTAAAAACATCCAAAAGGTGCTAAAAGTAAGTTCTCTTATAATTTGACAAATTTATAACTTCAGAAAACTTAACCAGTGTTATTAAACATTGTTGATGAGATTTTTCAGCTCTGAAGCATATTATAAATGCTATGGGAGAAAGAATTATTCGATAGTGAGCTTGGAGAAGATTTTCCTTTAATAATTAGAAAAGAAATGTTATCAGACATTAAATGAAAGAAGTGATACAAGAGCCAAAAACCTCCTCAAAAAGGAAGAAAAAGAACAGAGAAAAAAAAGATACTGACAAAAAAAATGAAATCACTCAAAACCGACAGAATCCTGGGTCTCAATCAAGTTTCATTTAAAACTTGATGAAAATGATTAGGTAAATTACAAAGGAATCAAACAACTTCTACCATTTCTAATAGGTCATTCATCAAACAGCTGGTGCCGTTACTCCGAAAACGAACTCTAGACCGCTAAAAAAAGAAACAGCATTCATTGTTTGAATTCAATCGCAGAAATCATGTGGAAACTCATTATAATTGATAATGGTCGGTAAAAGAAACAAGCCAACAACAGCTTACCTGTTGTTGCCCGCTAAGACTCGAGAAGCACCGTCATTTATCTCCTTTCTTCATCAAACAAGAGAGTCCTCTCCTTTTCTGGCCTCCATTCTCCTTCCTCCTCCTTCCAGAGCCTTCCCTTTTCTCTCAATCTTCTGTTGACCCAGAAATCAAATTATCATACTTCCCAATTTCTCCAACAGTCAATCACCCTTCACGCATGCCCTCTCGCCTCTTCGCGATCTCAGCTTTCCCGCTACTACTCATCCGACAAAAATCGCGAACTGCTTCCTACTCCACCCTGTTCCTCTTGCAACGACACTGAGACACCCTTTTTCTCCCAAGTCTCTCTTCAATTCTTGATGAAAATCGGATGGGCTTAAATGTCGGTGGACTAGGAGTGACTTCCAATAACGGGCTTAAATAATACTGAGAATTCCTCGATTTTTAAAAATAATTTTATATTTAATATTATAATAAATATAACAACATATTTATTTATCTTTAAAATATAAAAATAATTTTAAACATATTAAAATAAAACAATTGTGATAATACAAGTAATTGAAATCTATTTATTCAATGTGATAATATATAGTAACCATCTGTTTAAATATTTTAAATATAAAAATAGAATATGAGTATAGTTACATTTTTATTTGATTTATTTTTAGTTGTTACAAGCTCTAAAATTATATATTATTACTTTACGTCTACATATTTTCATTCACATAAAAATATTTTATATAAATATAAAACTTATATCTTGGACATAGAATGGGGTAAAATCTAATTTTGATAAAAATAAATAAAAAATATGACAATTTATATTGAAAGAAAATGCATCAAAAATTTAGGGTTTAGGTTTTTGTGTTTAAAGTTTAAGATTTAATATTTTAGGGGCACGAGAGTTTAAGGTTTAAGAGTTTATGATTAGGAGTTTAGTAATTTAAGGTTAGAAGTTTATGATTTAGAGTTTGAGATTTAGAATTTAGAATTTAGAGTTTAAGATTTAGTGTTTGGGATTTATGATTTAGAGTTTAGAGTTTAAGATTTAGGATTTAGTATATAGAATTTTAGAGGTTAATAGTTTAGAGTTTTAGAGTTTAAGGTTAGAGGTTTAAAGTTTAGGGTTTAATGTTTAGATTTCAAAATTTTAGGGTTTAGGTTTCAGGATTAAGATTTAGGATTTTGGATTTAAGATTTAGGATTCATATTTTAAGAGTTGAAGTTTTGGGTTTAAGGATTAGAATTTAGAATTTAAAGTTTAAGAGTTGGGGTACCAATATGAGAATATGTTTTACCTTTATAATTTATATTTGGTAGATAAAATTAAATACTAAAAATACTGCAATAAAAGAAACAAACAATAATAAGATTTTGTTGAAAATCCACAAATATTAAGCAAGTAGAGCTATAAATAAAATGATCTGACGAAATAAGTAAACAAGAAAGGGGTGTTTAGCCATGATTTGTTCTTCTATAGCAAAAAGAAAGAAAAAACTAGGAAAAACATATAATGAGGACACGAAATTAAGGAAAAAAACAAAAAGACTTAAAAGTCTATAAAATCTCAAGAATGATGATAGATCAAAATTGTTTGTAAAACTATGAAAGGTAATCTGGGTTGTTTAAATTAAGAAATGAGGGAACTGTTGCTTCTTTTTTGTAAATTTGAGATCAAGAAACAAATATTCCTAATTAAAGAATGTTGTCGCTATGTTTAAATCAATATTTTATAAAAATCATAAAGATAACAAGAAAACCCAAATAAATCGAAGAGAAATTTGGAAAACGATTGTGAAAACCCATATTAAGAAAATGTGGAGACCCAACTCCTTGAAAATCTTTTATCAAGATTGAAGAAAGTAAAAAAATCACCTACGACTACTATTGGATCTTCTTCTACCTTCTCTCTATCTTCGATCTTCTTTCATTTATCTCTTTTATATCTTCTTCTTACTTCTCTTATTGTTTTTGCTTGTATTTCTGTCTTCTTCTTGGACAAGGCTTATGAGAGAGATTTGATTTTAAAAGAATGAAGAAGGTAGTAGGCAGAAGAGATTTAAATCTAACGGTTGAATTCTTAATTTGTTTTATGGAACTACAAACTTTTCTATCTAGACCCAGGAGAAAAGAGCTACATTTAATTATAGAATTAGAAATCTAAAGATTTAGAAAGAAATTAAATACATAAAAGTTTTAGTCTATCACTTTAGCACGTTTGTTTGTCGTATGTCTGCCATTTTAGCACGTACAAATTCTGTTTGGTACAATGCATAATGGTGATCATCATGGAAGCCGTGAAAACCATGGCTGCGTTAATTGTCATGGATGCAGAAAAAGGAGGTTGGGATCTTACCGCAATAACATCGGACCAGCCAGTAACATATGAGATGTGTATGGTGGGACGTTTCCTAACCTAAGTAATTGTCAAGTATTAACCCATGAAAAACACTCTAGCAGACGTTTGGCAATCATTTGGTGGGGTTAGTATCACGGATCTTGGTACTAACATATTTTTATTTTATTTTTTCTATGAAGTGGATATACAGAGGGTCATGACAGACAACCTTTAGATATTTAACAACCACTTTCTGGTTTGGCATCGATTAAATGATGGTGAGGACACAACCGCAGTCGATATCAACAACGGTCTCTTTTGGGTGCAAGTGCATCAACTGTCGGCTGGGTGTTTCTCGGAATCATTAGCGAAATAGTTTGACAATTTTTTGGGGTCTTTTTAAGATTATGACACAACTCACCTTTAAATGCACATCGAAGGTTACATGAAAATCCGTATTGAGTTAATATCCATCAACCCTTATTTAGAAGGAAAAAACTTAATATGAAATATGGATCAACAACATACGCAATCTTTAAATATGAACATCTTCTGGTCTATTGTTATTTGTATGGATGAATGTGACACTCGAAATTCTTCTGTAAACTCCTCATTCAGGAAACCTAACGCAGGAATGAGATAAATTACTGAGAGCTAATTCCTGTCGAAATCCGCCATCATTTAGTCATTGGCTGAGGGATGATAAGGGTGGCATAATCCCGGGTTTATCGGTAAGAATTGGGGTGTACGCGGAAGTTCAAGAGATGACATCAACAGTTACTCCACAATTAATTTCCCCAAGGATTGTGGACCTGTTAAATTCAAACTCAAACGGGAAAGTGACAGAGAATATGGACCAAGATAAAATTATGGGCCGCAATTTGATTGATGCAAGGTGAAATGACCCGAACCTCCGGTGTACAAGAAATTAATTTAGCCCAGGAAAAAGGTAAGAAGAGGTCACGTCATTAGCCCCCAAGTTATAACACTGTATTACATTTAAGCAGAAATGAGAAGGAACATATGCATCCAATAACACATGAGATATCGGCAAGTCCTGTGGAGTAGGCTCGCCGGATGCCATGAATGCACTTAACTGGAACTGCTGAGGGCTTGGCAATGCTAGTGCAGCACTAACTCTGCAAGTGCGAGTAAGAAAGAACAAGCCAAACATCGTGTTCCTATATGAGACATTGGCGACACAGGGAAAGCTGGACATGATCAAAGTAAAACTGGGTTACCCGAAGGCCTTTGGTATGGATAGACTGGATAAAGAGGGTGGGCTGGTGATATTTTGGTCGAACAACTAACAAATATCAATCATATCTTATTTATTGCATCATGTAAATATGATAGTGGAGTAGGAGTATGGAAGTGTCTGGATATTCATTGATTTTTATGGTCATCTATAACGTCACAGGAGACAAGAAATATGACAATTTTTGTGCACTTTGATGCATGTGAGGCATGGGCCATGGGCTGTTATTGGAGATTTAACAATATCCTCTCAGCAGAAGAAAAAGATAGTGGTGCAGTACCCTCTCAATCTAGTATGTTGGGTTTTCGGGACACATTTGAGAGTTAACTGATTGATTTGCCGTACTTTGGCTATGAATTCACATGATCAAGGGGGTTGGTGGATAGGGTGATCAGAGAGCATTTGGACAGGTGTGTGGTGAACGATCAGTGATTGACTCATTTTCTATATGCAAGACTGAAAAACTAAGTGGCACTAGTATCCGATCATTCCCCTATAATGTTATGCTGTGATAGGAGGGAAGGGAATGTCCATGCAAGATTTTTAGATTAAAAAATGCTTAACTTATCAATCCAGCAATAGAAGAAGTTGTCAATCACGGGTGGAAGTCAGGTAATACTACAAGCTTTATAGACAAGATTGCTAATTGCAAACACCACTTGCAGCATTAGGCAGACACCTGAGTGTAGAATTTCAGCGCCTGTAAGTGGACACTGTATAACAAGATCTGTCAAGTACGAAAAAAGGGAGGTCCAAACATAGGTAAATATCTTCCCTCTTTAAATGATGAATATATTAGAGTGTTGGAATAGGAGGAAGCATGCTGGAGACAAAGAGAAAAGAAGTTTTGACTAACATAAAGTGACCGTAATTATACTTCTTTTCACTATCAAGCAACTCAACAGAAAAGGCAAAATCGAATATCTGCCCTGAAGGATAATAATGGGGAATGGATTCGTGATGCAGATGCAATACAAACGCATATACTAAACTATTTCACTGAACTATTTTCGGTATCTGAGGGAAACTATGAAGCAGTGATAGAGCAGGTAAAAAATAATGTCTCGAAGAAGGTTAATGAAGTTTTGTTACAACCACTAATTAAAGTTAAAATTAAAGAAGTAGCATTCCAAATGCACTCTGATAAGGCACTAGGACCAGATGGTATGAACTCGACTTTTTTTCAAAATTTTTGAAAAATTTTCAGCCGAATATTACAGAGAGCTACATGAACTGGTTTACACAAGGGTCCTTTCCAGAACAGTTGAATGATCCAATGATTGTTCTTATTCAAAAAAGAGAAAGCCCAAAAAGTATTAAAGATCTACGTCCCATCTCGTTATGCAATGTGGCTTATAAAATATTTTCCAAAGTGCTGGTAAATCGTATGAGCAGTTTCTTATCAGACATCATATCATAATATCAATCAGCATTTGTACCGGATAGAAATATGACTAATAATAACTTTCTCACTTTTGAGATAATTCATCACATGCATTTAAGGAGTAAGAGAAGGCGGTCAGATGTGACCCTGAAGGTAGATATGAGTAAAGCATACGATAAAGTCATATGGGAGCATTTAGAAGCTGTGTTGCTTAAGCTCGGATTCAATAGTCGTTGGGTGCAATTGATGATGAAGTGTGTTTTTAATGTGACTTACAGAATTCGAGTGAATGGTTGAGACATTAGCCCGCTTGTTCCGAGCAAAGGGCTATGGTAATGGGATCCCTATCGGTCGTACTTATTTATCTTATGCGCATAGGAACTCTTTGCCATGTTCACACAGGCAAAAAATAGAGGATGAATCCATAGAGCAAAAATTTGTCTCAGAAGTCCAAGTATATCTCATCTGCTATTTGCATGACTCTTTTTTTTTTCTTCACCGCTAATAAGGAGGAGAGTCGAAGGGTAAAATCTATACTGAAGCAATACGAGGATGCTTCTGGTCAAGCAATAAACTTTTAGAAATTACGAGTTTTTATTAGCTCCAACACACTAGAGGACCTTCGTTCCCACCTGAATAGCATCCTACAAGTTCACAACCCAATCAATAATGAAAGATATCTGGGACTCCCATCAGATTGGTCAAAGTAAGAAAAGTGCATTTGCATTCATCAAAGACATGGTTGTGAAGAGGAAGAAGGGCTGGGCGTATAAATTTCTCTCACGAGTAGGGAAAGAAGTGTTACTAAAATTAGTGGTGCAAGAACTCCTAAATTTTGCATAGGGGTTTTTCAACTTCTGATTAGTTTATGTGAAGAACTTGAAAGAATGATGAATAGTTTTTTCGTGGGTGTCGAAGCAAGATGAATAGAAGAAAATACATTAATTTTCCTGGACTTCACTGTGCAGAAGTAAGATGGAAGAAGGGTTAGGTTTCTGAAAACTCTAAACTTTTAATATAACTCTGTTAGGTAAACAATTCTGGCAGGTTTACAGTGGTCTGCACTTTTTGGTTACGTGATCGCTTACAGCCAAGTAATTTCCGTAAAGGGATGTTACAAGTGCGCAATTGGGAACAAACTTGAGCTTCACATGGCAGAGCCTGTTATCTGCAAAAGAAATGATGTGTGAAGGAATGAGATGGGTTATAAACAATGGAGACTAGGTACAGGTGTGGTGTGACCCATGGTTACTAAGAAAAACTGACTACTATGTTTATGGCCCCCGTATTACTGAATTTAAACATATGCGAGTCTTTGAACTCATGAACGAAGATCGTTTGAGCTAGAATGTTGATATGGTGAAGGGTTTATTTGTTGAGGAGGAGGCTGAGCTTATTCTAAGTATTCCTCTGAGTTTGCAACATAAAGAGGACCGGTGCATCTATGCACACTCAGCAAATGGAAAATACATTGTCAAATCGGCTTATCAGAGCCAACTTGGACTCGGGGGGGGGGGGGGGGAATGCTGCGAGCACAATAAGCTTATGAAAGTGTATCTGGAAAGTAAAAAAATTTATATGGCGATTTATGACAAACACACTCCCTGTTAAGGTGAGACTAAATGGGAAATGGATGCCTATTAGTAAATATTACCCCCAGTGTGGCCAGGAAGAAAACATCATGCATGTATTTATGGAATGCGTTAAAACCAGAAGATGATGGAGATTGTTGGGAATACAACCCCATATGATGCAGTTCACCGATATAAAGGTATAGGGAGAATAGATTGTTAAATCGCATAAGGCACAAATGATTAAGGAGGTGTTTTGTTGCTTGTGGAGATTCTGATATGAAAGGAATGAATGTGTTTGGAATGGAAAACAATTTACAGATCAGATGTCTATATATCTAATGCGCAAACTTCTAATGAAATGGAGGTAAGCACATATCATACAGAATAAAAAAAAAGGATAATCTAACCAGATTTCAGCGCACAAGCCAAGTTGGCAACCTCCGGAAGAAGGGATGTGGAAGTGCAATATTGATACCACAGTGTAAGCAGGTGATGTCGTTGCAGGATTTGGAGTTGTTATACGTGATTGTAATGGTATGATGTTAACTGCATTTTTTGGACATATCATGAGCTGCCGGTTGTTGTTCCAGACAGAACTACTAGGCTATTGTCGGACCTTACTCCATTTAGCCTCTACTGTTCAAGGGCCAGGGATGGTGGAGGTCGATCTCAATGTTGCAGAAAGCTTTATCATCAACTGAAGAGGACTACTCCGAATTGGCTATTCATTAATGATTGTCCTGCCCTACTTCAACAGGTGTGGAAGTGAACATTGTATGGGTTAGGACTGTAATTGGATGGCACATGAATTAACTAGAGCTGCCCGCTTGTATCCAAGTTGTCATATTTGGGAGGTTTTCCCTCCACATATAAACTGTATTGTTTCTTTTCTCCTGTCAAGATAAATCTAACCCCTTCTCCTGTTCTCGCCTACATATATGGGATATTTTAAGAAGTGAACATCTTTATTAGGAGTGGGGTCTGGAAAAATAGAAAATGTGATTTCACTATATTTTTTACCAGGAACATGACCTATTACAAGAATATTTTTTTTAGTAGGGTGATAATTTTGAAAAGACAGATTGCCTATCTTTTCTTTCATCTCAGGCAAAACGCAATCGAGGGGAGCTAATTCAAACTCCCTTTTTTTACCATGAGCAATAACTTGTTTTAGTTGTATATCATAAGGAATTCTAACAACTGCTTCAAATATAGTATCAGGAAGCACCGCTTGTGGAACCTCAATATCCACAGGCTAATTAGCTAAATGGCAATTGGCACATACAATACGCCTTGTTGCTTCTCGTGGATTTTCATAACCCTGTTGCGTAAAAATGGGATATGCATTTGAAATGGATGCCCAAGTTATTATATATATCATGAGTGATACGAAAATAGATCGAGTAATCTCTTCTTTTATCCAAGAAAAGGTATTTCTAGTTTGCATGGTCCAATGATTGATCCTGAAAATTCATACAATAAAATTAGGTAGGTCGCTAGTATAGTTCTTTATCCACAATTTTGCTATTTATATTTACTGAAAGAATTTTATTAGAATATATAGGAAAATCCCTCCAGTAAATTATTTTGAGTCATTTATTGAATGATATATCACTACAAGTGATGACGATACAAGATTTAAATACGTGAAGATCCTATGAGTGTATTTCTTTATTAATTAATTAATATTTGAATATTTTCAAAAAAAATAAATAACTAGAAGAGACTAATGATTTATTTGAAGTTATGCACTTTATTGCAGTTACTAAAATAAATTAAAGATATTATTTTTATGGCTATTTTTATATTAGTGGCCGTTTTTGTCGTTTATTATATTTATCGTATATTCTAATTATGTGATAATAAATTATTAACTTTACCGTCCCTTAACAAATTAAATAACTCAAAGAAAATAATATCTATTAATACAAATCCAATTATATATTTTAAAATTTTAATTAAGACCCAAATCCAAATATTTTTTTCTAATATATTCTTAAACCGAAAGCAAAGTTGACTGGAAATTTATATTTAAAATCTTTTTAATTGATTTTGGTTGGATATTTATTTTGAGCCGTTGGGTTTCGTGGAGAAAAGGAAGAACAAATTTCGTGGGGCCTGTTTGGCACGTCCAGACAAAAATTGTGAAATACGAATAAGATGAGAAGGATGAAGATAAGAAAAAAGGAAGGAAGACAACTAATCTTCCCAAACACGCCTCTAACCTTCAATGTATGTACACGTATTATACACGTGTCAAATTATTCTATTTTTCCTTTTTACTACTAATATTAATAATTTATTTTTAATAGATTTCTCATGTTTGTAAAGTTTTTTTTTTTTTTAAATATTCTTCACTGTGCTATTAACAAAAATAAAAATTGTTATTATTATTGTTTAAATTAATCATAATCCTAATTGGAAGTGACTTATTCCTACTTGTACGAGAAGCTCATATATATATTTTATAATTTTGTAATTTCATCACACTATTTTTTTATAATTAATAAAATTCATTTTATATAAACCATTCAATATATCGATTCTAATATATAATTAATTTTTTTACTAAATAAAAGAGATAATTCTCTATTTATCAGGAGATTTGATATTAAAAGAAATACGGACCATATATTTCGGGGAGATGAAAAATATTCTGACTATTAGAAAATTCCAGGGAGATTGACCTAGGAAGGGTACGACCGTAAATTCATTCACATTATCTCCCCTATATAAATCCCCTTCCCTTCCTCCTTTCCTTCACGATAGGTATAACGCGCAGCCTCATCTTGAATTTTGAAGCTTTTAAAAGATTTCTCATCTGTTTCTCACAAATTCGCGTTTATTTTACGGCTCCTCCTCCTCCTCCTCCTCCTCCTCCGTGTCGTTTTCGGAATCAGAGACTTGTATAATCCTGTTAGGTTTCGGTAATCGACGATTCTTTATAAGGTAATTTTTTTTTTTGTATTCGCGTACATTCTTCTGATCCGTGCCGAAGCGATTAGCCTATACGATTTAGGGTTTAAATTTTTTGCGAGTGCTTCTCCGTGTTATTCGATTTCTTTGCCTGTGATCGTACCTGCCCATTTGATCTGGTTGTCTTTATTGATATGAGGTATTGTATCTGGCGTTTCGTTTTGGATCGTTACGTTGTTTTCTCTGTCAATTTCTTTTGTTTATTTGTTTATTTATTTTTTGCTTTTATGCGTTATTTCTTTCAGTACCAATTGGTCCTTTGATTTGAACCACGTTTTGTTACGGTTTTTTTATGAGTTCATCGAGCGTGAATCGTGCATTTCTTATTGTGTATTCTTCCGATAAATCTCTTTATTCTTCTTGAATTTCTTTAATCGTATTAAACTTTCTGCCTTTTAATGATAACTTATGGTTTTTGTGATTGCGTTGGATTGAGAAATCCGGTTCTTTGCTTTTCTTGGAGGCTTTAATTGCTACCTGTTCATGTTTTGACAAGAAATTTTGTTTGGTGACATCTTTTTTCAATCTTTTGGAACGTTCGCCTTTGCTTTTCTTGGAGCCTTTAATTGCGATCTAGGGTTCACGTTTGGACAAGGAATTTAGTCTTTTTAACATCTTTTTTCAATATTTTTGAACGTTCGCCTTTGTTTCTCTTGGAAGCAATTGCAGCCTAGTGTTCGTTTCTTTGACAAGGAATTCAGTTGTGTGACATCTTTGTTGATCTTTTGGAATCGTTTGCCTGTGGATCTAATCTCCTTTTTAATGGTTCTATACAGGCATATCTGAATGAGCTAATGGAGTCAAAAGGTGGGAAGAAGAAGTCTAGTAGTAGTAGTAGTAGTAAATCCTTATTCTACGAAGCTCCTCTCGGTTACAGCATTGAAGACGTTCGACCCAACGGTGGAATTAAGAAATTCAGATCTGCTGCATACTCCAACGTGAGTTTTTTGTTTCCTCCACTTCATTTTTGCCCATTTGTTTGGCATAACATGCATAGATCTTGATATTAACCTGTTTTTGTATTTGGTTTTATGCAGTGCGTGAGAAAGCCATCCTGAGATTTCCGAAGTAGTGTGACATTGCCCCCCCAACTTCTTTCGTTTTGCAATCTTCTCTATTCTCTGCTTTTCTCCTACTCCCTTTGATCCCTCATTCCCCTTGATCCCTTGATCCCTCTCTGCTAAATTGTCTGTCTCCTGCAAGGCAAGATGGACTTGCCAGTCTCTGCAATTGGATTTGAAGGCTATGAAAAGAGGCTTGAAATTGGCTTTCTCGAGCCAGGCATCTTTGCTGATCCCGGAGGAATGGGTCTCCGCTCTTTAACTAAAGCTCAGTTGGATGAGATTTTGAAACCAGCTGAATGCACCATTGTTTCTTCGCTGTCAAATGGTCATGTTGACTCATATGTTCTTTCAGAGTCAAGCCTCTTCGTGTACCCATACAAAATTATCATCAAAACTTGCGGGACTACAAAACTGCTTCTTTCCATTCGTCCTCTCCTGAAGTTGGCTGATGGACTATCCCTTTCTGTGAAATATGTGAGGTATACCCGTGGAAGTTTCATATTTCCTGGAGCTCAGCCATTTCCTCACCGCAGCTTCTCAGAGGAAGTTTCTGCACTGGATGGCTACTTTAGCAAACTTGGTTTGGCTAGCACTGCATCCATAATGGGAAGTTCTGATGCAACAAAAAAATGGCATGTTTACTCTGCTTCTGCCGGAGAAGGAAGCCATGGTGACAAGGTCAACACTCTAGAAGTGTGTATGACGGGTTTGGACAGAAAGAAGGCATCCGTTTTCTACAAAACTGGTGAAAGTTCAGCTGCTGGGATGACAGCAAATTCAGGCATCAGGAAAATTCTGCCACAATCTGACATATGTGATTTTGAGTTTGAACCTTGCGGTTACTCCATGAATGCTATTGAAGGGGATGCGATTTCGACCATCCATGTTACTCCTGAAGACGGATTCAGCTATGCAAGTTTTGAGGCTGCTGGTTATGATTTTGAAGAAGTTAATTTACGCGAGCTTCTTGAGAGGGTTTTGGCTTGCTTCAAACCTGCTGAGTTTTCTGTGGCTTTACATACAGGATGTGTGGGTGCGGAGGTTTCCACTTTCCGACTGAACTTGAAGGGTTATAAGTGCGAGGAAATGAACTATAAGGTTACTGGTGAGGAAGGTGGAACGGTAATCTACTACAACTTTGTTGAGGCACGAGAGCCAGTCCTGAAATGCCGTTGGAGAATGAAGGGGGGGAAAGAGGAATTTACGGGGAAAGAGTGTTGGATTCCATGTATTGCGTCTTTGTAAACTTCTGCTTTTGGTTGCTTCTTTTTATTTGAGTTGGTTTAGATAAACTGGTAGTAATTGAATAATGTATCCTGCGAGGGTCGCAGGGTGAGTGTGTCTTCTTGTTGGTTTTGCTACAGTGATGTATTGTTGCCCGTGGAGTCGGGTTTATTCCAGACATTCTTCTCTTTATTAAGTTTTTGTTATGAATAAAACCTCCTATTATGGTATTTTATGATGGAGTTTGAAAAGATTGTGTTGTATGTAGAATATTCAGTTGGTGTTTATTTTTATTTTTTGGGTGTATGGAAATATTATTTAAGTTTTATTGCTTTAAAATTTTTATGTGAGATCTTTCAATGAGTTTGTTTTAGAGCAACCGAACTATCATAAAATGTATAAAAGAAAGAACACGGCGCTATTCACTAAAGACTCGTGGGAAGGACAAAAATGTTGCAGCCAGACCAACTTTTTTACCCGCAAGAAGATATTAAGTAGTTAGCTTTGGGGGGGAAAAATTGCTAGCTCTGGCCACAGAAAAGAATCGTTATGTTTGCCGCATAAAATTATTCTTAAACTATTCTTAGTTGTTTAAAATAAAAATAATTTTAGAGATATATATATTAGTTGTTTATAATAAAATATATAAATATAAATAGAATACAAATTTCAGAGCAACAATTATAAAAAATCACTATATATATAAATATATTCATCTATACATAGTTTCTTGAGTAATGAAGCTTTCCTACGTATTTACATGTTTATATACACATACAAGTCTATCTATATACACAAGCAATTAATCAAATATATATGTGCATGTGTATTAAAACATCTTTAACATATAACTCTTTACCTGCAAATGAACATAACACATAAAAAACTAACAAGATATTTTATGTAACAAATAGAGTCAAAATTTAAATTGCAAAATTATATCTTCACAATACTTCCAAAAATGGTAAATTTTCAATCTGAAAGATACAGTATATCTGATTTGATAAATTCAGCAGGTACAGAAAAAATGGGATTAGCATAATTGACAAAAAGCTCTCAACTCTCCAATTAGGGGGTTCGAGTTATGGATTCAATAGGGTCGAAACTTCCTCGCAGCTCTCAATTGCTGTATCCGCTTTCTATCCTGCTCAAATTTGTCTTGAAGCATCATAATTTCTGCAAAAGAGTAAATATTTATTACTGTTTTGCTCCAGTATCAACTATCTATATTATTTAAACAAAACAGAATTCACAAATCATCCACATATCCTCTACAATTCTCAGAAGACCATGAGGACTAGAAAATCCAATTTTTTCTCTGCAACCACGTAGTTAATGGATGTGGATAGAGATATTGTCCACTTTTGCAAGAAATTACCAATCAGTTAATGCTAACAGAGTCAGTCATCATAAAATTTAAACTGTAGTGATAAATATCCCAAGGCACCATATTACCAAGCCTGTTCACTGATCTCTAAATCCTAAAATAGTTTTTAACCAAGTGGTTTAAAAAGTTTGGCAATTTCTAGGATAAGAAAAAAAGAACAAGTAAAAATTCATACCACTCCGATGGGCTTCCCTTCTTTGGAACCGATAGAAATCTAGCCCAACTTCCTTGCTCTTCTTCTTGGCCATCTTATCCTCCATAGCAGCTTGAGAAACCGAACCAACAGTGATTCCACTTTCGGAATCTGTCGTCTTTTTCCTTCCTTTATGATGTACAACTACTGTCCATCCCCCTTCTGCAGCTTTGGCTTCTCTTTCTTCTCTTTCCTGTTGTAGATATGAAACATAGGAAATGCAAATGAGCATTACTCGCATGTTTTCTATCCAAAAAGGAGAAAATATATTTCTCCAAAGGATATATGCCGAAACAACAATTTGAAGATAACATCATTATGCAACATAAGTTACCAACTTCCCTGGCAAAAACAAATAAGATAAAATTTTAAGTGCTGAAGTGCATGGTTCAGTTGTTCATTAGAAAGAACAAAACTTAGTGGCACAACACAAAACAACAAAAAGTTAACACTTTCCAAAACCAACACATGCAGTACAAGGCTTTGAACAAGATAATAGTTTTTACATGCATGTGTGAATGTTAATTTCAAGAGTTTGAAGAGAGGGAATTTCTATCTGAAGCTAGTCAAGCCTAACTGAGAGATTATGCTGAAAAGAAAAGTACCTGTTCAAGTCGTGCCTCATGAGCAGTTATAAACTCATCGATTCTTTGTTGCAATACTTTCAAACCTGGTCTACATTCGTAGTACTCTGTAACCCATTCTGCAGCTCAACAAGCAACAAATTAGAAAGCTGACTAATAACGCTTAGAATCCTATATAATCTTGGAGGTCTATCCTGAATTTAGATTAAGAAACTTGATGAGGGATATTGATGTCATTCCAAAAACAGAATTAAGCTAACATTTTAGCTAATTTAATTTGTTTTCTTTTTCTTTGCTGGGAAGCATGGTGGTGGTAATGGAGTAGAGGCAGAATACTTCTTTATAGTCAGCTGTATTGGAGGGAAATGGTGGGGAACACTTCACATATACTATGGGACATTGGAGTTAAAAATAATGTTACCAAAGAGAGATTCAAGGCACAAGACAATGGGACAAAGTGAATCTGTTTCCTGTCTCCAAAGAGATGGCAGGATGCAAGTTTGAGGTATCCCTAATAGTTGAAGCGTATTGGTTCCGTATTTCTCAGGAGAATGAAAGTATAGGAAAAATGAAGTTAGCTGATCCTTCAATTCATAAATGTAGTGCAATATAAGTTTCCCACTGTAACGAGGTTAGTTAAACAGGCATTAAAAAATATGACCAGTTCAGTGCTTCATACTTTTCATTCCTTTTGAGCAGTCCTCATCCCCTGAAGATATATGATACACTTCATCCTCATCAGCTTCTTTAGTTTTCCCTGGTAACTTCTCATCCTCCATAGATGCATCAATACCTTTCTTTTCCTTTTTCTTTTTCTTTAATTTCTTAGACTTCCCTACAATCATATAAAAAATCCATTGAAATTGTCTAAAATAAGAGAAAAACTCAAATAATAATCTATTTGTCTGCGAAGCAAATAAAAAGCTATTGCTTCTTCGCACATACGAGTTCTGATCTCAGTTCCATCATCAGCCTCAACAGAATTTTCAATCTCTTTTGACTGGCTATGATTTGATGCTCCATCTATGCAAAAGGAAATATAAAAGAAATGAAAGATGATTCAGTGTAGAAAAGCAATACTAGCATTACCAACACTAAAGAGAAAAGAAATATTGAAGGGCGATAATGCTGATAATTCTAGTTCCAGCCCCCACTGACACCAGGAGTACCCCGAGGCTAAAAGAAATCACACTGGAGACAGTAGACCATTCATATAATACAACTTAAAATGATCTTTGATATGGAAATAAATATAGCACTGATTAGACATTGCTACCACTGAACTAACATACCTTTTTGTTCTTGGAAAACATCTTCAGTATCATTACCAAGCTGATCAAATTTTCCAAGAGTGTGAATTTTTCCCTCTTTCTTTCTCTTCTTCCTTGATTCATGCTCATCCTTTTCTTTGGTATCTTTGATTGAACCACCTGCAACAAATTCAAAAAGCAAAATGTTAGGGAAAATTAGCAGCAAATCTAGAATCATAGAAACACATGTTTATATCCTGAGGTTCCACCTTCGACGTGAACAGCTTCACCAATATTATTAACAGTGTTTCTTTTCTCTCTTATCTTCTTTGTCTTCCCCGTTGATTTTCTCTGTCCAATGTCTTCAACTTTATTTAATTGATCATCTGAAAAAAAAGACAGTCAACGCAAAATTACTTCTTGTGATATATCTCAATACATCAAATGAGTATACAATTACATGTTGTTCAAGTCCAATGTGTAAGTTAGGTAAAAGTACAGCTTCATGGCTAAAAAATCCCAGCTCAAATGTCAAGCTAGATATGTCTCTATGATTCTAGAGTACCAAACCCTGTGCTCAAATTGTTGCCAGCCATGTAGAAAACTTGTGCAGAATTTACTAGCGTTATTACCATTGATCTGTATTTTTCTTTTTCACTCATAGCCATTAAATTCGTCAAAGAATGGATCAAAGAAAGAAATATTATCTACCAGCAATAGCAAAAGAATAAATCTGAGAGTTAAGACCTTACCATCCATCCATCAGTCAGTGCATAGTCTCCCCACCATCAAGTCACTACTCATACCTTTCTTTCTTTCAGAAAAAGAAAAAGGCCACATATTCATACCTTAACCCTAAAACTAGCAAGAAAGCCCTAACCATCCTTATTGTTACTTCTATTTTTATTCTCAAAAGAAGTTCTAAAATCCCACAAACAATTCAACAGCAAGTAACTGAAGAATGCACACAATTTACGAAGTTTAGTAACTGTAAGCCGCTATGGTGCTACAGCAGCCACTGCATTCACAGGATGCAGCATACAGCAGCTTCTACATCCACTAAGAAGACGACTGATTGTTGTTGAAATCAATAATCCCAATACAAATTCTTAAGACTTATGGTTAATACAATTCGTCCCAGATGTCAATTGCAGCTAACTTCAACCAAATTCAAAGTCGATAATTCTATATCTCCTATTAACTGGGAATTGATGAAAGTAAGTTTGCGAACGCAGCAAAACAATATGTGAAACTAATATAACTGCAGTAGCAGCGACAAACAAACATAGGGAAGCAACAAAAAGGAGATCCATCTTTATATATATATATATATATATATATATATGAGTATCTGAAACGATTT